CCTCCCTTTCCGAATCATGTTAGAAAATTGTGGAATGCTTGACTTTCCATATAAAGGAAATTCGTTTTCATGGGTGGGAAAAAGAAAAAATGGAAAAGTTAAATGCAAACTTGATAGAGCAGTGGCAAATGAGGAATGGCACGACCTGTTTAACCATAGTATTGTGGAATATTTACAGCTATGGGGGTCGGACCATAGACCAATTCTTACAAGGATTCAGTCATCATCCCGATGTACCAAGAAGAAGAATTTTCGATTTGACAAGAGGTGGATAGGAAAACCTGGGTTTAAGGAAGCAGTGACTTCCGGATGGGGACATTTTGATGACATTCCAGTCCGGAATTTTCATCAAAAAGTTACCTCATGTCGGAACAAGATCAGTACTTGGAAAAAAAATAATCCGACAAACTCAGCTATCCTGATTGAAAATCTAAAAAACATGATTGATTTGGCTCAAGATGACGAAAATTCCACGACCGAGGAACTAGAAGATTTGAGGCGACAGTAGATAATGGCGTTTAGGGAAGAAAACACTTTCTGGGAACAAAAGAGTAGAGATCAATGGCATAAATATGGAGATAGAAACACAAAATTTCACCATGCCACTACAAAACAACGAAGAGCAGTGAATCGAATCATAAGTATTAAAGACAAACACGGGAGGTTGGTAGAGAGTGAAATCGAGGTGGAGACTGTTGCTGTTCAATACTTTCGGGATCTCTTCTCTACCTCCTCCCCGACAGAGGTTGATACCTCCCTTCGGTTTATTACAGAAAAAGTATCCCAGGCCGACAATAGGTTACTCTTAGAGGTACCGTCGGAACAGGAGATTCGGAGAGCCCTTTTTGATATTAACCCGGATAAAGCACCAGGACCGGATGGCATGACTAGCAAGCTCTTTCAGAAATTTTGGAGTGAGATGCGGAAAGATATTATTAAACTGGTACAAGATTTTTTTGAGACGGGCAGCTTTGACCCACTTTTGAATCAGACGAATATATGTCTTATCCCAAAGAAGAAGAAACCCCGGGAGATGTCAGAATTTAGACCTATTAGTCTCTGCAATGTTAGCTATAAGATTATATCTAAGCTACTATGCAAGAGACTTAAGAGGCTAATTCCGAGACTGATTTCGGAGACACAATCAGCATTTGTGGCTAAACGTTTGATCACTGACAACATCCTGATAGCACAAGAGAACTTTCACGCCCTAAGGACGAACCAAAGATGTAGGGAAGACTTTATGGCCATTAAGACCGATATGAGTAAAGCTTACGATAGAGTGGAGTGGAGTTTTCTGGCTACCCTGATGTTAAAGATGGGATTTGATGAAAGACTGGTTGACCTCATTATGTGTTGTGTCACGTCGGTTTCATATCAAATTCTCGTCAATGGACAACCGCGAGGCCGGTCTTACCAAGGAGGGGCCTGAGACAAGGAGACCCCCTGTCCCCCTTCTTGTTTATCCTGTGTACAGAAGCTTTGGTATCGCTGTTGAATGGAGCGGAAGCGGAGAGGAAGATTGTAGGTTTTCGGGTGGCACAGGCGAGCCCAAGGACCTCACATCTACTATTTGCGGATGGTAGTCTTTTCTTCTGTAAGGCAGAAGCTAGCCAATGCAAGGAGATCATAGATATCATAGACGTCTATGGGAAAGCATCAGGACAAAGATTAAATGCGGCAAAATCATCAATGTTCTTCGGAAACCGTGTAGACTACCTTCGGAAACAAGAGATAAAAGAGGTCCTGGGGTTCTCGGCTGAAGGAGGCATGGGTATGTACCTTGGACTACCTGAACAGATTTGTGGTTCGAAAACCAAAGTCTTCTCCTACGTACAAGACCGGCTGAATGGATGTGTGAATAATTGGTCTTCGAGATTATTGTCCAAAGGGGGAAAAGAGGTTCAGATTAAAGCGGTGTCCCAAGCAATCCCGACATATCCAATGTCATGTTACTTGATTCCCCAAGGCATCATTGATAAACTACGAAGCACGAATTCAAATTTTTGGTGGAGTTCAAAACAGAACAGCAGAGGTTTGCATTGGATATCATGGGACGAAATCTGTATCCCTAAAGATTTAGGGGGACTAGGATTTCGTGATCTCCATGATTTCAACATAGCACTTCTTGCGAAACAATTATGGCGATTGATACACTACCCGAACTCATTATTGGCACGTGTCCTAAAAGGGAGGTACTATTACAATACCTCTCCTTTAGAAGACCGACGTACATACTCACCTTCATATGGCTGGCGTAGTATTATGGCAGCAAAACCCTTACTTCTTTCGGGACTACGGAAGAGGATTGGTTCAGGTCGAGATACGAGGGTATGGAGTGATCACTGGATCCCCGACTCAGTGGCCCGACCACCTAGGCCTGCCGATCACATTGTCTTTAGACTCCCCAGCCTCCCGGTTCAAGCCCTTATTAGGAATGATACCAAGGAGTGGGATATACAACGTTTGAGAGAATATTTCCAGCCAGACGACATACCTCTGATACTTGGGCTAAAACCCTCATATTCGTCCGCTCCAGATGGATATGTTTGGGATCACACAAAGACAGGAGTATACTCGGTTAAAACCGGGTATGATCTACTCCAGTCGAACAAAACAAGGCCTACACAAGGATTGGTTCTCCAACCGAGCATCACAGGCCTCCAGAGCCATGTGTGGAGGATAGAGGCTCCAAGCAAGATGAAGCACTTCTTGTGGCAAGCTATCTCAGGTTGTGTGGCGACAGCAGAGAGACTCACCTACAGACACCTGGGCACCGATAGGAGTTGTCCTAGATGTGGTGGCCCAGTGGAGTCAATTAACCATCTTATCTTTGAGTGCCCCCCTGCCCTGCAGGTTTGGGCTTTATCGGACTATCCGTCCATTCCGGGTGTCTTCCCGAGTACATCTATATATCAAAACATAGACTTCCTTTTTTGGAAGAGAAAAGAGGTGGCTCCTCGGAGACCACAATTCGACACCTTCCCATGGATCTGTTGGTACATCTGGAAGGCGAGGAACGACAAACTCTTTAATGGGAAAGTCGTATCCCCATTGGATACTCNCCTCGGAGACCACAATTCGACACCTTCCCATGGATCTGTTGGTACATCTGGAAGGCGAGGAACGACAAACTCTTTAATGGGAAAGTCGTATCCCCATTGGATACTCTTCAACATGCGTCTCTTGAGGCAGAATGTTGGAGAAAAGCGAACATGAAAGAGGGAGTCGACGAGGCATATGAGGTACCTCCCTCTTTGGAGATTGAGACAGAACCCTCTGGGATCCCTCGAATCCCGACCTGTCAAATTGATGCATCATGGATCGATCATGGCAGTGTTAGTGGCTTAGGGTGGAGTCTTAAGAATCAAACGGGCTACGAATGGGTCGGACAACGGGCGTGCAGGAGGAGCCGTTCAGCTCTGCATGCAGAGATGGAAGGCCTACTTTGGGCAGTCTCATGTTTGAGAGATTTGCGGATCAACTCGGTGAGGATTGAGACAGACTGCACGGACTTAGTAGACATGTCTACTAATCCGGAGGAATGGCCATCCTTCACAACAGAGATCGAGAGACTGAAGAGACTACAAGAGGACTTTGCGGATATGAGGCTTTCTCATATTCCTCGAAGTAAGAATGGTAGAGCGGATGCATTAGCGAAAGAGGCGAGAAGGAAAAGATCTACTTTTTCCCATATAGATCAGACCAGGCCAGACGGAGATGCTCCTAGGAGGATCAATTCGTCTGATCACCACTTGATCTAGTTTTAGATGGGCGGTGGAAAAAAAAAAAAAAAAAAAACCATTCTTGTACGTGTATTATACTATTATCTAAAAATTATTTAGTTATATATTTAATTTTAATAGCTAAAACCAATAATCTGTTGTATTCAGCTTTGTTCAGAATACGGTTCGAGAGAAGCGATTTTCATTTTTTCTATCCTCTCTCTCCTACTGTTCCTTTTTTTAATTATTTGTTTGCTGAGAAAGTTGAGTGAGAGATCATCCGATGCCGATGTTCTTAGTTTTAAAAAGCAAACGCTTTGTTGCCATGTATTTTGGTGAGGTGGAGAGATGTCTCATGTCTTCATCGTCGTTCATCGCTTTCATACTGTCATACAATGTTAATGTAAGTTGTCTTAAAAAATATCAAATCGACTTCCGATCAATAAGAAATATAAGTTGATTTGATACTTTAAGAGTTAAGACCTTCACAGTAAATTGTCGTTCCCTATTTTAAAGTTAAACCAAGATAAAGCCACAAAGGCTAGTTGATATAAGTTGATTTGACGGTTTATACCCACTACAAGATAGAAGTAAGCCAAATCAAGACCCACAAAAGAAGCATAATATAATAAAATTTCTTTAAATTAATAGTGTTAGGATTCTGAAATTTTATTAATTTATATAATATTAATTTATAGAAATTTTTCTTTTTAGATTTATTTATTTTAAAATATGTTTTTATGTCTAAATATGAAAAATAATTAACTTTACGGTATATGCATTGATTATATGCATTGATTAGACTTCATTGTATTTTTATTCGATTATTTGGTGCATAACATAAATGTAAATGTATTCTAATTGTAAAATGTAAAATAATATCAAAGTGCTTATAAATATTAAGAAAAATAAAGATAATTTCACTATAATAAAAATCAACAATAAAATATATTGAATATATTTATATAAAATTTGTAAATGTTAAGTATTAATATATTTTTATATTAGGACCATATATTTATATAAGAATATTAAAAACGTATTATCTTATTATTTTATCGATTTGCGTCATCTTATATACCGATACAAATTGGGCACTGACAAAATTTATCAATTTATAGAGATTTTTAATTTATCGAATATTATTACAGAGATTCTACTATATAAGATCAAATGAAGATTAAACATGTCTCTTAAATGTCTTCGAGAGAATTACAAAACTGACACAAGGTGTTTCTGCGCCGGAGAAGGGCTCATAAAATTACACGAGAGGCATCAAGACCTGTACCATTTTTTCTTCCAATTCATTTGAGTACTCTCCCTTCTGAGATTTCCATTGATGTTGAGATTTTCTTCATCTTAATTATCAAACAAGTTAAAACCAACAACTCAGCTCCAGATAATTTAATAAAACAGTTTTCCTTAGATTTTGGACAAATTGTCAAAACTTAATCAATCAAATTTTGATTTAATACCGAAAGAGAGGTTTTGACAATTCCAACTAAGTAAACAAATATATACTTTCTATATAAAAATGATTTTAAAACTTATTAATATTGATATTAAATAAATACTTGAGAGACTTGGGGAAGAGATTTACCTTTGGAAATACTCTTATACATCTTTGGGTTAAGATCAAGAAGTGCTTTAGAGTCAACCTCCCACCATTCACTCCTCTCATGTCTAACCGCTGGAATTTGATGGGATAATCTATTCACTTCCTTCTTTGGAATGTCTACAAAACCTGCCTTTGACTCAAGACACCTTCCATAGAGAAGCTTGTTAAACACTTTAGCAGTCAAAAGCATTGCTTGTATGCTCTCCTCTTTAGTCTCCACTACTTCTACAATCTCAAGATCTTCCTCTTCAGACCCATCTAGGGTAATATTCCAGTTCTTGTACATAGCCCATATCTCACCTTTTCTAGGGTATACTTCGAATCTGTTTACACTAGTCTTCATGGCTTTAACTTCATGTGAGAAGCTGCTAGGTGTAAGGACTTCTGCTTTACCAATTTTCAACTTGAAGCGGCCACATGAAACTGGATGTGTCATTAGATTTATAGGAGGGGGATACAGCACTAGAGGTGCTACATGTAGCTTGAGCTCAGGGCTTGTGTCTATTCTCTTGATCTGAGCATATTTTCTTGGCATCCTTTTGTCATTGTCACTATATATAGCCCATATTTGATCAATCTTGAACTTGTCTGGAGACCTCTGGTTCTCAAAGTCATAAGTGTTTTCTTTCTCTATATCTAAGGACTGAGATAGTGACTCCTCATCATGTCTCCCACGTTTCCTTGAGTTCAATGTCGGTGTAAGAGCAGCATGTTGATCAATGTTTCTTTCTTGACAAAATCTTGACAGCTGCTTTGCTTTCACCTCATAATCTTTGACCCATTTAGCCAATTCCTGTTCTGTGGTTTTCAGTTTCTGTTCCTTTTCATCAAGCTCCTTTGCTCTCATTTCATGTTCCATCAATGATGCTTGCATCTTAACCTTCTTCTCCTCTAATGATTGCAACTCTTCCATGCTTTCTTGAAGCTTTTTCTTGACAACACTAAGATGACTTTCTTTTGAATTCATCTCAACAGTAAGGTCAGTGATTGAGCTTTGATGTCTCCTCATAGCTTCCAACTCATCTGTGCATTCCCTTATCGCCTTTTCGATTGAACAAACTTGTTCTTGTCTCACCTTCACTTGTCTGATAAGTTCCTCATTGGAGTTACTGAAATCTTGTAACTTCTTTTCTCCTTCCTCAACTTGTTTGTTTTTCTCAGTGAGTATTGATTCTAAAGACTTCAACTCCTTCTCTTTGATACACAGGTTTTGGCAGCACTGTGTGAATACATCTTGCACAGACCTAAGCTTCTTTCTAATAGAATCTTGCTGAGCATTAAGATCATTAATTGAAATTTTAACCTTATCGCGACTTTCTTGTCTTGACGAAAACTGTTCTTGTCTCACCCTGATTTGTCTGCTAAGTTCCTTGCTGGAGTTAGTCAAATTCTGTATTTGTTTCTCTCCTTCTTCAACTTGTTTATCTCTCTCATTGAGTATTGCTTTCAAAGACTTCAACTCCTTTTTTGTTGACTCATTCTCAGCATTGTATCTTTCCTCTTTTGAAAGTTGCTTGCAAGAAAGTTTATGAATAGCCTCTGTGATGTCATTGTGTCTCTTCTCTTTAGAAGCAAGTTCTTCAGTTAGTTCCTCAATCAATAGCTTGGTTGATTCATAGTGTTTACTCTGTTGATGAATCATCCTTTCAATCTCCTCCAGCTCCTTAGCTTTTGATTTCATCTTTTTACAAGTCTCATCCATCTCATTGTTTAGTGATTTGGCCTTCTCTTGAAACTCTTTCTCTTTAGAGACAAGTTCCAAGGACCATGTCTCAAGCAGCTTCTTCTGAGAATCTAGTTGCTCTTCCACCACTTCAAGCTGCTTTTGTTGAGAGTCTAGCCTTTCAAGATCCTTCTTCTTCCTCTTTATATCCTCTTCTAATTCTCTATTGAGAGTTTGAATCCTCTCAAGATGCTCCATCTCTGTGGTAAGCTCAACCTTCACATGTCTTAACTGTTCCACCTTCATATCAAGCTCACCTTGAGTCTTTGTTAGTTCCAAGGACCTTGTCTCAAGAATCTTACCACATTCCAAAGACTTGTTCTGAATCAATGAGAGATCTCTTGTCTTTCTCTCATTCTCCTCATCCAATTCTCTCCTGAGAGATTGAGTCTTCCTCAAAGACTCCATCATCTCTTCGAGTTGACTAGCCTTTGACCTCTCTTTGACCTTACACTCTTCCACCAACATCTTAAGAACCTTTTCTTTGTCTTCAATCTCCCTCCTAAGCCCATCAGCTTTAACCTCTAACTCACCTATTGTATCAACCCCAAAGCATCTGTTTTGTAAATCCACCTCTCTTGACTCCAACTCCATGAACCTCTTCTCCACTTGGCCTTGCACTGACTTCAAATAATCCTCCAAGTCTCTCCATTGATGAGTGAAGACAAGTAGTTCAGAAGCTTGAGAGTGAAGCTTATCAAAAGCTTTACCGAGATTCACTTTCTTGACATCACAGAGCTTTAACTCATCTTCCAACTTTGGTCTCTCCATTACCTAATGATTTCTTCTACTGCAAGTAAGAGTTCTAAAAAAAAAGAAATCAATTAAACCCTAAATAAGATACAACAGTATTCTACGTTAGCGACCTATGACTATGTTGACCTAACTTTTACTCACCTCTTTAATTTATTTTTATTACTCGTTAAAGTATTTAGTTGGATGACTTGTAACGAAAGTTATCGTCAGATCTTTCAAGGAAGACAAAGATTTACAACAGAATAACACAAACGTGAGGGACAAGAAACAAAACAATTGGTGGAAACCCTAGAATTTAAGAAGGGGGGGGGGGCTCGAGAGAGAGGGAGAGAAGATTTAGGGTTTAGCGAAGGAGAGACGAAGGTATTAGGATCTGAAAGAAACAGAGAATGAATATAATACCAACAGCAGTTTCCTTTTTATAATGAGAGAATTAACATATTATGATTCCAAAGCTTTTGATATCTTGACTAAATTTTTTTTTTTGCTAAGTAAATCTTGACTAAATCTTCTCAATTATTATAAGTTAATTTACCAATAATATTTTTTTCCAAAACTGCTTTATTATGCTAATCCAAATCAATAGAAATATGGAATTATAACAATAATTTTACCTTTATATTAGGATTCACTTCTGATTGCAGTATTTTGAATATATATCTCACGGTTCTACTTGCAATGATGCTCAAAAGATGGAACCCCAAATCTCCTAATATATAAACATAAATGAATCTTTAGGCTAAATGGCTTTCTAAATTTTTAATTTGACAACATTATGACTGGGTGACTTCAAGATTTTGATTGATTGCATATTTCCACTAGTCAATGCCTTATTGTAATTAGGATTAACTGTGGCTGCTACAAGTCTACAAAATACGATATCAAATCAGCAGATTAAGTAAAATACATATTATGATATTAATGATGAACCGGTGTTCAAAAAAAACATTAATGATGAACCAAAAAAAGAAGAGTCAAAATCTACATTCAACGTTCACATATATATTGTCTTACTTTAAATAGATCATACATATTTGATTACCTTCACCATAGGAACACTTAGTCGTGGACATTCAAATATTCGGTTCGGTTTCTAGGAATCATTCGATTTCGGATAAATTATTTTTATACCCAATATATAATTATGAGATTTTGGTTTGGTTCTGATTCAGTTTTGGTTTGATTCCAAGTATCTTCAATATGTGAATCAAATATATATCTCTATAATATTATTTGAGAAGTCAGTTTCCTACGTGTCGCGCTCACGTTAACTCTCGCGATGGTTGATTACTTAGATACCCTTAATGAATTTTTAGATTTTAAGATTTTTTTATTATTTAGTTTCTTTTTTACCTTTTACCAAATAACATATTTAATAAAAAAGTAAATATTTCTAAACTTTTTTAAAAAGTTAAAAACGAATANAATATTATTTGAGAAGTCAGTTTCCTACGTGTCGCGCTCACGTTAACTCTCGCGATGGTTGATTACTTAGATACCCTTAATGAATTTTTAGATTTTAAGATTTTTTTATTATTTAGTTTCTTTTTTACCTTTTACCAAATAACATATTTAATAAAAAAGTAAATATTTCTAAACTTTTTTAAAAAGTTAAAAACGAATATACATGTATATAATATGACTTTATTAAAAAGGAAAGTTCACAAAATAGTAATACCCCCATTAATATATATTTTTAAATAACATAAAATATATTTTCAAAATAATAAAATATATATGTTCATGAACATCCAAAAATATATCAGTTACACTTTATTTTCTAATATTTTTTAGAAATCAACATATAACTTGATAAATATTATGAAAATACATGTATATTTAAGCGATAAATAAAACTAATTTACTTTGATTTAACTAAAATAAAGAGTAAATAAATATTATGAAAATACATCTATATTTAAGCAATAAATAAAACTATCTTGATTTGACTTAACTAAAATAAAAAGTAACTATACTTCAATTTTAATTTAAAGATATGTTTAACTCAATATACTCACAAAATTAATGACTCATATCCAAAATTAGACATCTAACTACAATAATAACATATAACTTTATAATAATAATAATCATCTATTTAATTTTATACATATAAATTAGAGGTTGACTCAAAGCATATTAAAAAGAAAAAAGAACTATTAACCCATTACAATTTAATTCTTTTTAGCATTTATATATATGCATGAGATTTCAAAATATTATCATTATATTCATTTATGTAATTTTGAATCAAACACTGCAGCTTACTATTTATTTCATTTTGAGCACAATATATATTAAGTTATACATAATTTAACTATAATATATTTACATATCTAAGAATATATTTACATATCTTTTTTTTGGTCAAAAAATATATTTACATATCTAAATACAATAACCAACCGAAATGAAAATAAGAAAATCAATCAAAATTTTACTATATTTAGAATACAAATTATTATAGCTGAATTCGAGAAAATAGATATTATCAAATATACCGAATTGATAACCAAACCGACTATTGATCCAAAAAGTAACTAAACCGACAATAATATATCCAAAGTCATATATATGTATAATTAGAATAATATAATATTTAGTAATATAAACTATATATATAAATTGATTTAAAACTAAAATTAAATATCCAAATTATTATAAAATTTTACATTTATGAATATTCA